CCTCGACTCCTCTTTCCCAAGGATTTGGCACCATTACTGTCTTTTTGCCCCAATTCCATTCAGCTGCCGCAACCTCTTCTTCTTCATCTTCATAGCCGTCATCGACTGAGTATGGATTATAAGCTTCAAACACTGTGGTACTATTCTAAAATCGGGTATCTCTATGTATACTCTGGAATTGGCTATTGAGCGCTGTCACTTGTTGAGCCAATTGACCCAAGTTGTCAAATTCTTATCCCAGCAGCTTTTCTTTCCATATTAGCAGCATTCCTTGAACAGCTAAAGCAGCTAGTTGATCATCAGCCAAGTTTAATGAGAAGCACAAGTTTCTAATCTCTCGGAACCTCTAAAGAAACTCAGTGCCCGATTCATTAGTCTTCTGCCTTATAGTTGTTAGATCGGTAATCTTTCTTTCCCCAGTCCCAGTGTAAAAATATGTATAAAACTTCTCTAGGTAGTTCAATTGACAATAGAATTGACTGGTAGTGATGAAAACCAAGTGAAGGCTGGCCCTGATAGGGACAAGAAGAAGAAACAAACCCGATGGGCATCCTCAACTGATGCTTCGCCCAATTGTGTAAGATACCGACTGACATGTTCTATCATGCTTGTACTGTCTTGACCAGTGAATTTAGCGAACTCTGGGAGCCTGTAATTTGTGGGAAGAGCGACCAAATCATACCATTCTGGATATGGACGTTTGTACGAGAAGGTCAGCCCTTTTGGCATTAGACCAAACTGATTTTTCATCATCTCGGTCACCTTCAGCAACAACTCATCAGCATTTGAATTTGGATTTCTCTGCACCTGCTGACCTATCTGTGGATTGAAATCCCGTGTGCTTTGGTACCCTGGATTTGGAATCATGTGAAGGGTGTTATAATCTGTGCCATAGTGATACCCTTATGGAATCTCTATCTGCTGAGTCCTTTGCTAGTTTGCTGCTTGAAGTCTCTGATTTTAGACATAAGGATTTATATCTCTACGGACCCTTTGAATTAAGGGTGCTAATTTTTGAGCTGATGGTGGTATGTGGCCTGATGTGCTAAAATTGACCTCCTGGTTCTGACCTTGCCCTGTCAGCTGTTGCACGTGCTGTACTGGTGGTCTAGGATTAAAATGTATCTGATTCGTAGTAGTTCCTTAAGCTTGTTCAGATGAACCCTGAACTGCCTGGACATCACCATTACCAGCTGGTGCTACTTCTTGATGGCTGGTACCGACTTGATTAGTCCCTTGGGTTGACGGATCTGGAATGTTGTAATAAGCCGGCCCAACTTGACCAACTGGAATCCCATGAATCGCTTCTTTCATGGCGTTGTGGAATGTGTCCAAGAAAGCTTCATTGTGGCTTGATATGGCATCACGAACAGATTTGTTTACAACTTCCGTAAAGAAACGCCTGTCTTTAGCTTCAGATGTATTTGTCTGCCCGTGTAATAGAACTCTTGGTAGTGAAAATTTCTGAACAATTGTGTTGTCACGTATTTTGGTGTAGGACAACAAACATTTGCTTTGAAATTCTTCTGTAGCTTTGTCGATGACATCTTTTTCTCCATCAGGTAGATCTTCAAAATGTACCATAAGGATGTCGTTGTTGTTGTGAACCGCCATGACGATTGTAGGGTCTCATCGGGCATGCCAAAAATGTGTGTCAACACGGAATTTCGTCCCGTGCCAATGGCACACGAGCAAGCCGGAAGGGTCCGTAAGATGGAGCTGGAGATCCGTCTAGCTTCAGCGTAGAGATGGTCGATCCTGCGCACTCCTCCCGAGACGTGCTAGTCAATTTGACCCTACAATTGACAATGAGAGAAAGTTTATCAGTAATTTAGGGCAGAACGTGCCGATGTTGTCAGACAGTCCCGAATGTGCGGCTCTGTGAGCCGATATGAAAGGAGATCGACTAAATAGTCGATTCCAGCATATTCATAAGAATGAGTCAGTTAAAACTCATAGGGTTGTGTAAGAAGAATCGGTTATCGTTAAGGATGAATATCATTATTTAGACAAATATTAGTCAATGGCAATAAGATATCAACAATGATTAGTTCATGCTAAGCTAATGACTGCAAGTAACCGAACCCCTCTTTGTATAAATAAAAGAGCTCATCATCATTTAACCATTTAATAAAGATAAATCTAATGAACATATTAGATCTCATCTATCGCTATGACTAGTGGGGCATGAGGCAGAATCATGCATGTCATAGAAACAACAATAGACTCGACGACCCTAACTTATTACTAATATCAGTGGGGCATGAGGCAGAATCATGCAGGCCGTAATACAATAATAAGATCATGGGGCTAACACATCTTTCAACCTATCCCTACTTCAACGATCTCGTGATGTGAACTATTCGTGAAAGTGCTCGATATCGGCTAAAACAGCCGATTCAGGCATAGCGCACAGCTAAGATCATGCCCTCTCAGGAACGGATCTACCAAATAACGATCTCCACTCCATGGTGCTAACAGTGGGGTGTGAGGCAGAATCACACATGCCGTGATAACGGGCCATGGAACGGCTTTCGCTAGCCAATAGATCTACTCAAAATCAGACACGCCTTAGCCGCACGCTATGCACGATTAAGATTGATATAAAATAGCCGATAAAACATAACTCATTGTTTAAAGTGCAGATTAGATTAAATTTAGATTAACAAACGATGGGTTAAAAGGGATATAAAGCCGATCTAGATCAATCCTAATTGGGCGAAGTGATATTGCTGTAATTAAATAGATAATAAAAGCAATAAGCAATATCGGTAACTTAATGAATCTATCCGAAGGAACGGCACCCTTAGATAGAGCCGATAACTTGACCTTAATCTAGTTTAAGCAGTGGAGGTCGACCGGATCGATGTATCCTTACTTGAACTAGACAAGAGTCGATAACTAACTTATACCAGAGTCGCAGTAGAGATCGACCGGATCGATGCAGCCGTACGAACAGAGGTATAAGCCATGACGGTACTTACAAACAAGCAGTGGAGGTCGACAGGATCGATGCAGCCGTACTTGCTGAAGAACTCGCCGAGATCTACTCTACTCCTACTTCTAAGGGGTGGCCGGAGCTGAAAAAAATAAGAAACTTGTATTTGATTGATATTGTATTTTTTACAATAGCCGGGGTTTGATATTTATACCCAGAGCCTAAAAACGAATCCTACTCGAGTACAACTCAGTACAATCTTCGGCATAGAGGAAAACATTCCTAATTTAAGATAACTTGGACCCTAATCTTTTTCTTTTTGTAGAGTCCTATATGTAGTTTCCTGGTGCCAACCGTAGCTCATCATCGCTATCCGTTGACGTCATCCTAAGAGATCCGATTCCAGAGTCGTATCTGAATTAGTTGATATCGACCTTTATGCAATCGATTCCTTGATTGGCACAATCTTGGAAGCCTGCGAGTTCCTGTATTCTTCTCCTAAATTTTGGTGTAAACATAATCACAGTAGAATATTTGGGCACTGCTACATGTGTAAGCGTCACTTGGTTGGGCGCTACCTGTCCCCGACCGCCGGGCATGGCAATTGCCAATTGGCATGTACGTCGACCTGAAAACTTAGTAAAAAAATTCACAATTCAAGTAGCTGTATCAACCGCTAGTTAAGCCTCCTTTGGCACGGCTCATCCAAAACGGCTTTACCGGTGAAGCCAGAAAAACTGGCTTTTTTTGGCTTATAGTTCATTTTAACCCCGGCTTAAAAACGGCTTCACGCTACAGTGCCTCGATTTGCGTAAAATAGATGAAGTCGAAGCTGGCATAAGCCGTGCCAAAGAGGCCCTTAGTGTAGTTATTAATTTGTTCTTGTTGCTTCTCTGATGTTTGCTCTGTGCTGCTTCGCAGAAGGTACTGCAACGTGCATTTGTAATTTTGTGGCGACGCAGCAAACCGTCTACTAGTCAGACAAAGAGCAAAATTAAAGAACACCTCAGCAACTGTAAAGAATCAATGCTCCCCGTGATGCTTGTCTCTGCTGCCATTGCATGGAGTTGTTTAATTTCCCTCCGATGGTGAAATTACGTATAGTATACCGGCCTAGGGTTGAAAATCTTCATCAGATCTTTTGGGCGTACGTTAAATATCTCAAATATGCTTGCATCATGAGTGACATTGATAGAAACCCAGTTTTGTATTGGTGTGCTTGGGAAGTTTCAGGCATAGTTCTTTGGCATCTTTGGAAATTTCACTGCCCCGTAGCAGACCAGCTCTACGGTTAAAACAATACAAAAACCTAAAACCTTTCATCTGACCCCAATGGAGGTGCTTACGATCGTTGGCAATAAGCAATACGAACAAAAGATCAAGTCCCTTGTTTAATCAGGCTAGTTGGTGCACACGCAATTGCACGAGCTGAGCTGACTGCTGAGTAATATTACTGTATTAGTTAGTGCATATAATACGTCAGTCCCCTCCGTCCAGTCCTTAAATCTTCGGCCTCCGCCACCCTCAGGCCACCCCTTCTGCCTTCACAAATCTTCTAGTTGAGTAGAGGCAGAGCACACAGCTCTTGGTTGTTTGGGAAGGCCACCCCGCCGCCGAACACTTGCTGCAACAATCTCTGCTCTCGTGTTCATCCGCCAAGCTCCATGCCATGTCGCTCACGGAGGTCAGTCTCCACTTCTGCTACCTCCACTCCCTGTCCATCGTGCTTCTCTACTTCTTCTACGTGATCTCCTGATCGGCCGCCTCCCGCCAAGTTCCGATCGAACAAAGCTTTTGTTTGATTCAGAGCCGAAGCTTTGTTCGCTCCCCCCCCCCCCAAAAAAAAAAAAATACTACTATTAATTACTCAATATGCTTGTTCCTCTTAGTTCTTCCATGATCTTTTGTCCCGTTCTTCTCCCGGCCCTCTCCTGTTTTGCTGCTAAGTTCCGTGCCTCTCCTAGTGCATATTCCTACACTCGATCAATCATTCGACTAGGAGCAGTGCGCGGCAGTGTTCGAAGCAGGTAAGTGAAGCTTCCCTTCTGAAGTAGTAACTAGGATGGTTCCACCGGCGGCCGCCCAGGGAGAGCGCCGCGCCGCGGTGACCACGGAGGAGGAGCGGCGGCGCAACCGCATGACCTCCAACCGGCTGTCGGCGCGCAAGTCCCGCATGAAGCGGCAGCAGTACGTCGACGACCTGACCGCGGAGAACGAGCGCCTGCGGCGCGAGAACGAGGCGATGCGCGCCAGCGTCGGCGACGTCCTGCAGCAGAGCCTTGCGCTGGAGCAGGAGAACCGGGTGCTCGCCGCGCACGCGCGCCAGCTGTGCGCCGCGCTCCTGCTGCGGAACTCCCAGCTCCGCCTGCTCGGCGACGTGGCCGGCGTACCGCTCGACGTGCCGGGCGTGCCCGACCACCTCGTGCAGCTGTACGGCGGCGTGCAGATGCCAGTCACGCCGCTCTCGCTGTCAGTCACGCCGCTCTCACCGTCGCTGTCGCCGTCGCCGCCGTCGCCACCGCCCCTGCAACGGCAGTTGCCGCTCGAGATCCAGCTGATGCTGCTCCAGCCCGACGTCATGGACGCCGTCGGTACGCTCGAGTTCTGAGGTGTGAGTGCGCATGAACTATTTATTGTTATCGTGTGAAGCCTGCTATGTCGTTGGTGTGCAGTGTGCTGTTCTATATTCGCGCTTTTGTTTGCTGTATGTATCCTCACGCGCCAGGAGTACTGCTGTATCATGTTATATGTTATGTATGCTTGTCATGTGAACAATCCAACGTACTGTAAGTGTGATGTGTTAATGTCGTCGGCGATCGAATAAAGAATGTATGTATGTTTAAGTAAGTTGTATGACAGCGTGAGGCATGCAGAAAGCTCGAATGTGAAATATAATACTGTACTGCCTTTGTCTCAAAATAAACAAATCAATTTCTAGAATCATCAAGTTAAACTATCTTAAGTGTGATCAGTTTGAAAAGAGTAACATCATCTATGACACCGAGCAAGTACATTATAAAAATATATTTTTCATAATGTATAGTGATTGAAATTTAAATTTAGTCAAATTTAAAATAATTAAATTTAGGACAACTTTAGAAGTTGATTTATTTTGAGACGCGAGGTTCTATATCTGTGGACTGGACAGACAGGTTGCTTACCAATGATTTCAGATTAACCGTGATCATTAGTAAAGCTAGCAGAACATTCAGCTTGGGGTACGACTGCATGCTTTTTTTCACATAAGGATTCGTCGATCTTTTTTTGCCTAATAATGTGTGAACCTGTGATGAAGCCGAAGGCGGAAGAATCCTGTGACCATCTTTTGGTTCATTGTCCCATTGGCCGCCTGGCGCGTGAGGTCTGGCTCTCAGGGGTCAGGGCACTCCGCAAACAATGGCACAATGCCCATCAGGCCATCACCAATCTTGGGAGGAGACAGTGAGACGTCAAGAACTGGTGATCGGTGGACACGGCTTGGTTCACCTAAGAGCAGGTATAATAAGGTGTTTGAGTCGGCGAGATGTGCTCCACGTCTGCAGAAAAAATGCCACCTTAGAGCATGGCTAATAAGCCAGCCTGCTGCCGGCTAAATGAAACTGCCAGGTCAGCCATCGGGAGTAGTCAGCTCATAAAATAGATCGGCTAAGAGGTAGATTATAATAATAATTCAAGTATTTAATGGGTGCATGTACGGGCCCTCAGCTGCATGCACGCCCCGTGAAAAACGTCGGCTCTGCGCCCGCTGATGGCTGGAAGCAGACGATTACTTCCTCGATTCGTGCGTGCAGCCTGGCATTTCACTAACCGCCCACTCCATTCTCTCTCTTCTATTCTCACTCCAACTCAGGTTCTGTTGACGTGGAACTTCATTTAGCCTGCTGACTATACCTTATTATACTTGCTCTTACGAGAGAGGTGGCCGTTCGATTGAACTTATCATCCACCTTATCAGCTAGAATTTACAGTATTTTTCTCTCATAACAAAACAGCTTCAGCCGACTTATCAGCTGACTTTAATACCAGCCGAACAGGCGAGACAAAAAAGCCTGCTTGCAGCAAGATGCTAGCTCTCATGTGCACGGCTCTAACTGTAAAAAAAAAATTTAGCCTCTCATCTAAGTACACCTGAAGTGTATGTTCGGATACAGGCAAACACCACCACACACACACCTCACACACACAGGGTATACAAACAGACCTACAGCTATACTAGACAACGAACGCAGCTGAGAGATACTCGAAGACCAGCAGACTCTGAGCGTGGCGGGCACATCACTTGACTATTGTGATATATCTACGTGAGAGGCAACTGAAATTATTAATGGAGAATAAATCTCCAAGGTGAGAGACCGGAAATTCGTAGCGAGGGGGCTCGAACTCTGGCCGGCAAGGTCTCAACAGCCCACCCGAGCTACGCTCGGTTCTCCTAACTGCAAAATATTAATTGCTCGTGGATTTGATACAGCCAGTTTCTCATCTAGCCTACTCCGTCCGTCCCTTATTATTTGTCGTTTTACGTTTCCGTATCACAAGTTTAACTAGATTTATAAAAAATACGTGCAACATTTGTATCTCCAAATAAATTTATTAAAAATCTAGATTCAAATATCTATCTAATGATATCAATTATGCATCATAAATATTAATCTTTTTATATAAAATTAATCAAAGTTATTTTTCGAGAAGCGAGAAAGACAGATATTTAAGGACGAATGGAGTATGTATTTAGCCACCGGCTGCTACTAGATTCCATCGATGATTACCGTGTTTTTCAGCGTCTAGGTAATAAAAATGTAATTATAGGATCCGTGCCGGTCAATCTAGCTTAAGTTTAACCAAATTTATAGTAAATAATATTAACATTCATGTGTTTAAATAAATTGTTTTATGAAAATATATTCTGTATCTAATCCAGTGATACTTATTTTATATCATTAATATTAGTATTTTTTATATAAATTTAGTCAAATTTTAAACGGTTATATTTTTCTGTGAATCCAGTGATACTTATTTTAAATAGACGTCGACCTGCTGGCTGCGTTCCAGTTGGAGAAAAGAGACACGTTGCTGGTGACTTGTTTGGCCACGGTTTGTCGGTAATGTAATGAAAATGATGTTCACTTAAAGAGAACTAGTATAATGATCGTGCTAACGTTACGATTTTATTTTGGGATGAAGCATCCAGAACCATCTAGTAGATTGGGGAAGAGCATTGATCTAGTAGATTGGTGAAAGTATTGATCTAGTAGACGAATAGAACAACGAACAAAGGAAGCTATTGCAAAAAAAAAACATTAAATTGTAAATCTCGCCTACCTTATCCATTCAAAAAATATGCATCATGTGATCTAAACTATCATAGGCAAATATTCCTAAAAAATCATAGTAGGGTACATTCGAGTTGACTTTCAAGTTTATCAAGCAAATATTTCCCAGCAAGTATATTGCAAGATTGTGACAAATTCTAGTACATAATGCAGTGAGCGCTGCTTATGCAAAATTAAATTGGATTTGTTGCATAAACAAATGAATTCTACTTCCCCATAGAATGGTCATTAACTAAACCGATGTTGAAGCCTGTGTCATACATTTCAGAAAAAATAAAGCTTATCAGATTATGGATGTAGATATACCTTTTTTTATTTTCACCTGTAATTCTTAAGTCTCTGTCTACAGTAAAAATTAATTATTAGACCAGAACAAAAAAGGATGGAGCAAAGAGTAGTGATACAAGCACACGACACTCACAAATTCATGGGGACATGAAAAATTTTGTTGACCTCTTGGTGACCAGACTTGTGGCATCATTGTGTCTGCCTTGCAAGACATATTTTCTTCAACACATACCTGCAGTAGCAAAGCAAACAGCTGTCGGCTAGGCAAATTCATGGGAAACAGACTCAGTAACTAAACTGAACCAACGCATCATACTTCTTTTTCTCTATCCTGTGGATGATGAGGATGGCAGCACCAAAGGCTCTGCGACCAATCTGCTCCATAACCTCCTACTGATCCATCCATGACTCCATGGCTCCCAACCACACAACACAGCTGCTAAAACTCCAGAGCAGCAACACGCGCTTGCAAAACTTCAGTCTCTAATACCAGAACCTCTGGCATCTCCCATACACACAACAACTCCAATCAGCCCCGTACCCTCAGCGATTTCAAGCAAATGTCTTTGATAAATTAGTGGTTGGAGGGAGGCAATTTACTGGCCTTACTTTGTGTCACCCAGAGCAGATCTCGCATGTAAAAGGACAATCACCACATTTGAGATGTAAATAGCGAGAGAGTAAATGAGTAGTTCAAGAATTGAGTTTTGAACTTGCATAAATTACAAAATATTTTAGTATGGGTACTCATTAATCTTTTAACCAGATGACTGGAAACTACAAGTTCCATGATAACAGTATTATAACACTTTAGCTGAGATGCATAATATAGAAAATATAAAGCTTTGTAGTGTACAGGTGGTTCACGTAGAACATTATCTTAAGTCTTAATACCTATAACTAGGCTGAAAAACTTGTGCCGCCACTCTTTGCCTTTCACTGGTTAGCCCCCCCCAACAAGGCTTGTAGGTCCAAATGTCATAGGGCGGTGTTGGTGTTTTTGCTCATGAGCAAATGCATTCCCGTCCTAAAAAAGTATAAATGTTACGGCAGACAATTTTTCTTTTAACAGAAGAAGCTTCTGTGTAAATGTAGAGTGTCTACTTGAAACAGCCATGTGTCAAAATATATGAAGGTAAAGCACTGACACTGGAAGTAGCTTTTAGCCTTTTACACCTTTTTAACAGCAAGGCAGTCATGAGGCAGCACATATTCGGTTAACATTTAACAAATGCTATGTAGAAAATTGAGAAACACAGTTGATCTATATGAAATTACAGTACTTCTTATCATAGAATTTATCATAAGGATGGTTCCAAGTTGAAAATTTTACATTATATAGCTAACTACATCGTATCCAAATTGCCTGTCTTTTATACAGCAAGAAGCATTTCTTCTTCATTCTTTCCTTCTTATAGGATTATAATTTACTGCATGCTGGCACGGAGCTGTCAGATTCCTGACCCCGCCATCTCCAATTAGTAGACTAACCAATCAAGATGCATGAACAAACACATACCTCTCGGCGTTCAGTCAGGGTGAGCCCTCGACGGTGGGATCTCCAGAGCCGATGTAGAGACGTCCTCTTGTACTGCTGACCAATAGCAGCAGCACCGTCGGCGATCTTGCAGTTAGGGTTGTGGTACCATCTCTGGATCCAAGTCCGCGCCACCGCCGCCACCCACGGCATCCTGAACCCGAGCGTTCACCATCACCTGCGGCCCCCACTGCCTTCTCGTGTCCGGAGCCCACGCGTTGGCCGCGACCCGTGGCTTCCGCCGTGGTCTCATGGCCCGAGTACGCACGGCAACCGCCGCCGCCCGTGGTCTCCCTATTCCGTGCGGCCGCCGCCTCCTAGGCCCGGCCGTCCGACGCGCCTTAGGGAAGAGCGCCTCGCTGGATCGCGGTCGGCTCCTAGGCGCCCTGGAGACCAACGCCCCGGCAGCCAACAATCAGATCAGATCCGAGCACAAATGGGCCCCATTCGGCT